GGGGGGGTTCAAGAGGGGCGAGGGGGAGAAATGCCGCCTGAGATGGAGGGGCGTTGCGTGGTTGCGCAGATGTTGACTTGCTCGCATAGACGTTGCGCTGTGCGGGCCGTGATAGATGGATGCTTCAGGCGGATGACAAGGGGAGCGTCTTCTACGTTCGGGCCGTACCTGCGACTCATTTCGTCCGACCGCTCACTACCCCGCCTTTGATCATCAGTACGCCTTCAGGAAAAAGGCGCTGGCCAACGAGCTTCAGGGCGTGCAGAAGGGTTCATGGTAGTCTTCTAGCGTCGGGTCAATCCATGCCAAATCATTAGCTCAAACCGTCCGTTGTCAGAGAGCGAATGGGCAAGATTTCGAATTTTGGTAGGGTATCGTATGTGCAAAGGTGTGGTGTAAGTGTTGAAAAAGGCGCACAGTCACAGGTATGGTACAAGCAACTGTCGGAAAACGTCGCTCATCAGGCAGTCATCTTTGTTGCTGGGTCTGAGTCTAGGTTTCGCTTCTGTCAGACCAGCAAGGAACTCAATCTCATCGAGTGCCTCAAACTCAGCGTCGGGAGCCGAACGTCAATGCTACGTGCGGAAGTGAAAAGGTGGTCAGCCGCTTTCTGTCGAGGGTTTCGCTGCACACGAACAAGCATGACTCACAAAATCTACTCAAACAAAGATTCAAGGGGCAAGGAGTATAGAGTGCAGTCCTATCAGCAGCTGCGAAGGTCACAAGCTCAACGCGCGCGCACTCACGGATTGATGAAATCCTTCGGCGGGGCAGCGGGGTTTTGGTTGGGGGTTGGAGGAAGACCTGGCCTGCCAGCGGCAGGACCCGGCATGGGCATGGGCATTGGCATCGCTGCAGGTGCTCCTGCCCGGCTGTATGGGCTGAGCATGCCACGCACGCCCGATGTGAAGCGGGAAGCTTGTGGTGCAACCAGCGGCACGTTGGCCATGCCTAAAGGAATCGACGCGGGGGGTACAGCCGCCGGCCTCGGACCACCATTGCCGATGTCTTTGGCGGTCGTGGTGGGCGGAGTAGCTTTTCCTGGCGCCTTCGTACCGGACTGAATCGAGCTCTTGGAATTGTTGGAGGAAGCGCTGGAAGAGGAGACTGATGAGGCGCCGTCTGTGCTACTTTTCCCTTTGCTTCCGCTGTCACTCCCAATAGTGCTGGCAGCTGGCAGCTCGGCAGAGTACTTTGCTTTCATGGAGAAGAGTTCGGCGATATCCCTCTCCAACTCTCGCTTCATCTCGCGAATCTTGCCCACGTCTTCGAACATGCGCGAGATCTGATCGAAGGGGCGGAGAAACGAGATCAGCACCCTAGATTGTGGCACGTTCGGAGCGCTTGGTTCATGAGACCCACCTCTTGCCCAAGGACGCCTTTGAGTTCATTCACGTGCGCATCGATGTTGTCTCTCAACATCTCTCGGCTGGCAAGCTGCACAGTCTGGATGACTTTGGCGTTGTGCTCAGCTGTGGCTCTCTGGACGCTCTCAGTATAGCCTTTGAGGGCCGCTTCGCTCTCAGCTTTAGCCTGCGCATCCGCTTGTCGTTGGGCATTCTGCTGCGCAACCAAAGACTCGATAGCTGCAGAAGATTGTGAGGCATTCTTGCCGATTGAGCATTGACCTTTACTCCCTGCGGACCCACGACCTCACCTTCCTTAGGACTGAGTTCCTTCTCTTTTGCAGCATTCTGTTGCTCTTTCAACTCTTGCTCGGCTCGGATCTGACATGCAGGCCAAGGCAGTCAGTCGGCGGCATGCAAGGCGTCTGGCTGCGCCTTGAACATAACTGACCTTTTCGAGGATGAGGTCTGCCAGATCGTCTTGCTCTTTGGCTCGCACAGAAGAGTTCCTCTCCTCCTCTGCATCTCTCTCGCTCTTTCGGCTCACTTCAGAGGCAGTACGACGAGCGTCCTCCTCCTCGCGCCGTTTCGCTTCCTCGTCCTTTCGCTCGAGCAAGTGCTTCAGGATCTCTTCAACAGCCAAAGCGAGAGCTGCAGTCTGCGCTGCAGCTACTGACGCATCTGGCTTGGTCGCCGTTGAGTCGGTAGTCATCGTTTCGGTCGACGTCGCTGATGTTGAAGACTTCGCGCTGCGGCTCTCCACTTCTTTAGCAATAGCCTTCGTAGAGGCGCCGACGGTCACGTCAGACTCATCGCCATCGTCATCCTTGTCGGCGGCGGCTTTCTTTTTCACCTCATCAACCTGCTCTGCGACCGTGGCTACTGCCGCGCTGCCAGCACCGAGCTCCGCTGCTTCTTTGATGACCTCTCTCAACTTGCTCTCGTCTCCCAGGGATGTTGCCTCCTTGAGCCTCTGCATTAGCGACTTCGGAACATCGATCTCCTCTGGCAACTTGCCAGTCTTGGGATCTGCCTTGGCACCAGCCTCTGCCGGACGGTTGGCTTGACGCTGTCTCTCCTTGTGCGCATCCCACTCAGACACGGCTGCGTGGACCAAAGCTGCTCCTCCTGCCGCTGCTGCCAGCGGACCCAATTTGGACAGGAAATTTCGTCGGTCGGAGCGCTTCCTCGCGGCCTTTTCTTCCTTTGACAGCTTCTTCGAGTTCGCACGCGAGCCCGAATGTGCCCAGACGTCTTGATTTCGCAGCGCTCCTGGCGAAGCCTCTGAATGCCAGGTGCGCGTGCCAGAGCGTGATAAAGGAGCCGGGGTGAAGAGGGCAGGAGGTGCCCCTGCTGCCGCGGCATTGGGCGGAATACCTCCGCCACCTCCCGCTGCGGTGTGTGCGGTCCACTGTCCACCATTGCCAAAGGGCGGCGGTTCGCGTGGCGGTGGGGCTGCACGGCCATCGGAAAGCTGATAAGAAGCGGGGTTCCCGCTTCCAGAGCTCGTAGGTGGTGCTCCCGAAACACCTCGACTGCTCGTCGTCGCTGAGCGCTGCAAATGCTGATTGTCCTCGTCCGCAACACCAGCGCCACTTTGCGGTGCTCCGGTCACTGTCGTCGGTCCCGATTTAGTCTTGAGCTGGGCAAGCTCTTCATGCAGCTGAGACACGCCGCTGGTCAGTTCGCGCCATTCTTTCGACCTGTCGACGACGTCCTTCTCCAACCAGGCGTTGAGCTCATTGAGATAGCGAGCAATGTCTTGTTGCTGAGCTTGCTGGGCAGCGCGCGCCCCTTCGTTATCTCGAATCGCCTGGAGGACTGCCTCTAGCTCGGGACTCGGCTTGGAATGCTGTTTGAAGGAGCCGGGGGACAAGTCGCGCCTCTCGTTGCCGTATGAGCTTGGGTCAGGCATGGAAATGCCCGTCGCGACCATGCCGGAGGGTTGAGATGGTGATCGTTGGTCGCGTTGGACGAAATTGCTGCGAGCCCATCGGACCGTGTTGTCTTTCTCGGGTAGGTCCGGTGCGCCATACCACCCAGCATTGCTGTTGCCCTGTTGCGTTCCCCGTTGACGACGCACTTCTGCTTCCATATTGAGGCCAACTTGACTTGTATGAGGAGCAAATATCGCCTTGGGAGGTCGAGCTTCGGACGCCGATGTAGATGGGGCAGCCCCATACAAGAAGACGTTGTCTGGAGCGCGGTCTTTCGGAGTCGTAGCCTGGCTACGAATCGAAGCAGCGTAAGAGGAGGCGGCGTCCGTGTTCGCTGGAGTTGGGGGGACGCCTAACTCCGAGCGCCAGTCTCGTGCAGGCACTATCTCGCAAGAGAGAGTCGAAGCTGACGAAGATGGAGAAAGCTGCATCTTTTCCTGGTCTTCCGCGCCGATCTCGAGTGTAGCAGGTGCGCTAGTGCGACTTCGCTTAAGCCGGTCGGCTAGAATGGCTTGATCGCGTCCGTCGATGAGGTCGCCGTCGAGATTGCGATTCTCTGGTCGCAAGACTCGCGGTAGACCTGCCTCTCGCACAAGCTCTCGAAGAGTACCTCTTCTACTAAGGTTTAGAGAGCTTGTGGCATCCACTTGGGACTGCATGCGCTCCAACAGCTTTTCTAGTGTCTCCTGCACTTTCAACAGCTCGTGATCAGAGCGAGTTGAAGCAAGGGCGTCACCTTTTGGGACTGCAGCATCCGTCGTCTGAGCTTGCGCCTTCTCTTCGAGGCGCGTCTGTCCCTCGAAAACGTTACCAACGAGGCTCAGTACTCTGTCGAGCTTCTCTTGCACTGCTGCAAGCTCGGCGTGACCGTTGCCTCGAGGTGTCGAAGCACCTTCATCCTTGCTAGATGCAGTCGTGCCCGCGCTGCTCCTGCGCCTCGACGAGCTGCGCTCCGAAAGTTCGTGTGCTGTGGTGGACCTCTTGCTGGCCGAGGAAGTCTTGCGCTGCAAGCCAGCGATCACATCCTTGAAAGAGCGAAGCTGCTCTTCGAGATGTGCCTCGCGCGCTTCGCGTGCAGCCTGTTGTTCCTCGAGGTAAGTGAGCAGACGAGCTACGTCGCCGGAGCTCACGCTTGCGCTGCCATTTCTGCTACTCAGCGAGCTGCAGCCAGCTATCACAGGCTTGGTAATGGACAAAATGTCCTCGCACTCTGCCGATTCTTCAGCCTTTGGCAAGGAGGTCCGCCCCTGCTTTCGCGGAGTGCGCTTCAGTGCAGAGGCCAGATCAGAATGCTGCAAAGAGGGCGGCTTTACTTGTGTGCTTTGCGCCTGCGATTGAGTTTCTTCGAGCACTGTCTCAAGCAGCCGTGATTCTTCGCGTTGTAAATTTGCTGGCGCTGTCTCTCCGCCGCTTTGCGATGTCGATTCCAGTGTCGCACCGCCAGGCACACGTTTGAGCCGAGCCTCCGCACTCAGATGCGCTGCTAGGTTTTGAAGGTCGGAGCCTGGTCGGCTTATGCAGCTCGCTTCACAATCGCTTCTAGGTGGACGCTGGCTCGCAGAATCGCTGGGAACTAATTCACGGGATGTCGAATCCCACTCGAACTCGCTCGGGGGTGGAGATGCGCGATCCTGTTCGATTGGCGTAGACATTGCAAGCGCCTTGTTGTGAGAATTGTCCTGGACCGGTTTGCGCCAGGTCTGTGGACGCGCGTGCGCTCGCTGGGCTTCAGTGAGTGGTCTTTCTGGAGACAGGTTGTCCTTTGGTGGGACAGGCGGTGGACGAGAAAGCTGCTCATGACCGGATGATGGTTCGGATGCCCAAATGCCTGCAATACGCTGGATCGTCTCCTTGCCACTGCCACCGCCAGTGCTCGGAGAGATGGGGTCGGACTGCGCACATGCAAGTACCTGGGACTGCGATTGCCCCACGAGCAACTGCACAGCCTGATTGACGGAGACCTGATTATCTCGACTAGCTGACGGACTCTGACTCTCGAGCACCTGCGTCTGGCCTTGCTGGGCAGATGTATCCCTGCCCTGCGCCATCCCAAGCGCCTCCCTGAGAAAAGAGATGCAAGCAGTACAAGAATCAGCAGTCGTGAGTGTAAAGCACGCGTCCTGCCTGCAGAGACTCAGCATTGCAACTTACCACGCTGCTGTGATCCATTGCACGCGATCGATAGCCCTGTCGACCGCGATGCGCTCTACACCATCATCAAAAACAAGTTGAAAAGCGTGGATGTCTCCCAGGCCCTGGGCAAGAGCGGTTTGTGCTGCAACGTCGTGCTGACTGTTTGGATGCACGGCACTGGGCAAGGAGAACACCTCTAAGCAAGCTCGTAGGTCCAAGACCACATTTTCGCGCCCCCCGCCGCGTGGTATCCAGCTCAGGGCCACGGCTGTAGGCAAAAGGATTGCCTGGGCGCGCTGCCAATGGGGTTGCCTGTGGTGCACGTTAAAGTAGAACACTGTTCCTTGACGCAGCGGAGCAGCTCGTTGACGGTGTTCTCCGATCAATTCCAACGCACCTCGATTGTCCAAAGGCAGGCGACCACTCTCTACATTCTGGCGAAAAGATGCTTGGGTGCCGTGGGTACGAGCGCTGAGTGCACTGCGGTCGTCTGACATGCGTCGCGCTTCAGCGACTTGCCCACCGCTCTCACCACTGTGCCATGCGCTGGGTGGGGCTTGAGCTGCAGCAGCAGCGTCTGAGGCGCGAGTAGCTTCACGGAAAGGATCTGATGGAGTTGCACCCCTCGAGAAAGCGCGTGCGAGACTGCGGACACCTTCAGCGAGGCTGACGGTGCCGGTGCTTCCGCTGCCTCCTCGTCGAGTAGGACTGGACCCCGCAGATTTGGTCTCAGCTGAAACAGAAGGCGGGCCCTTTGAGTCAGCTGAAGGGCTAGCATTGGTGCGCTGCCTCTCAGCAGAGGTCCTGCGCATGTGCAGCGGAGAGGTTGAGAAACCGAATAGCGAAGCAGAGGGCTTTCGAGAGCCGCTGAGTACACGTCGAGGACTGCGAGAGGGCGTGCGCGTCGGCCCGTCAAGCGTGTCCAGAGGTTCAGGCTCCCTATTCTCCTCGTCTGCTACAACTTGCGAGATCATCTCCGCGCCACCAGCAGCGATGCGAGCTCTGGAGGGCGAGATCTGCGCTCTTCTCCGGAGCGCCACTTTTGAAGTCTCTGCCGCAGCGTCGCTCTGCTCTAAAGCGGTCGACAGCTGATTATCGACCCGAAACGACAACTTCGAGCTGGGTGTGATAGAAGCAGATGAGCTGACTACAGAGTCAGGTTTGTCGCGAAGAGCCTTGCGATATCGCTCTGCAATCTCCTGCGATGGTGTGTGCTTTCCAGAAGGTACTTCAGCAGCCCGAGACTTGGTAGGCTTTGGCGGTGCCTGTGCCTTTGGCGCATTGATTGGGCTAGGGACCGATTGCATTTCTTGCTCAAAGAAAGCTATCAGGTCTCGCGCCTTTGTAGGTGTCCCAGGAGCGCGAAGTTGCGAGCGCAAAGCAGGTCCAGCTATCGCCTTTTCACTTTGACTATTGCTGATAGAGTGACCCACGGCGAAAGTCGAGTTACTCAGGACAGGATGCAAGGAAGGAAGAGATCTTGTCGAATCATGAGCAGGGAGGTCGCGCTTCTGTGTCTTTACAGAGGGCACAAGATGCGACGTGGTTCCGGGTCTAAGCGGAGCGTCTCCATCAGTATGACTTCTCACATGTGCATCCAGCGCTGCTATACCTAAGCCTTCCAGCTCTCTGTCTGCCCGTGCAGCGTTGCTTGGGGTTTCAGATGGCGTGTCAAGGTCACCGATTTGTTTTTCCACCGCCTCGGACGTCGCGACTGGAAAGGTCTTGATGTCGCGTGCCACATCATGCGTTTTGGTGCTGGACCAATTCGAGGGCTCGGAGCAGGCGAGCTTAGATGGACTAGATGGAGAGACTTGCTCAAGAGGACTCGCGCATTGCTGCTTCGCCACGATATAAGTGGCAGCATCATATCCAGCCGTGGTAGGGGGAGTGCCTGGACTCCTGACCAAACCAGCCGTGGTACGGGTTGGAAGGAGAACACTTGCACTTCCTTTGTGGATGCTGTAAATGCCGGAGCTCACAGAGGTCGCTGCCGTCATATCCGTCTCGAGTCGCCTCAGCATGGGTGGATAGGGATGATGCCTCCCATGCCCACCGGCGGTGCCCAACTTGTGGCTGTAGAATTCTGGGGGAAACGGCGAAGCGTCACTGGACATGGGCAAGCCAGGAGAGGTCGGTGCGGTGGATGGAGATCTCTGTTCCATCCTGTCCCAAAACTTTAGACCACTTCCGCTCTGGCTCATATGACTTCCAGCGAGACTGCTCGAATTTGGTGAAAATGGTCCGAGATGCGTGGACCTTTGCCCAGCTCGACGAGGTGGAGGGAAGCGAGCCCTTGCGGCTTGTTCAGAACCGCTAGCGATTGGCAAGCGTCGTCCAGCTGTATCCATAGTAGCTCTATTTCTGGCTTCTCGGCTCATGATACTGCTGCTCTGGCTATTCATGCTGGTCACTGAAGAGCTTTCGGCGGTGAGGCTCCTTTGATGAGCTGGTCGAGGACTAGTCTGTGGGGCTGCTTTCATTCCCGGGCTCAGAGAGCCCTCCGCAGCCGAGCAGAAGGATCGGCTAGATGCTGCGCTGACGTGGGAGCCGCTGTCCGTGAAATGAGCATTCACTGTTCGCGAATTGCCCCTCTGCATTGCCATCACTCTTTCTTTGACGCTGCCCGAACGGGGCAAGCTTGGCCGAGGGGCGTCTAGCCTGCTGTGTTCGTATTGCTGAGGTGTTGATTCTGCGTGCTCGGATGCGTTGCTCATCTCTTCGAGCATGTCGAGCACCGCTTGCTCTTCTGGCCCAAGAACCCCTGAAAAGATCTCGCGTGCCAGCTAAATGGAGATTGACAGGTCAGTGCCGGCGACCGTCAGATCAGCGGCGACGAGCATACTCACAGACTCTGCAACCAGGCGGTCTTGATGCTGAGGATCAAGTGCGCTGTATTGCGGACTTTCGCTGTTGTCATTGACCACCATTAGTGTTCTATCTGTTCTACCAGCGTCCCTCGCGTGTTCTGCCGCCCTATCTCTTGCGCTGATGACTTCCGCAGCCCCATACGGCACCTCCAAGCTCGTGTACGCGACTTCTGAATTCGAGTCATTTGAATCGCGCTTTGCGTATAACGAACGCGTCTTTGTCACCAAAGACTTTGGAACGCGAGCACCGGACTCTTCCAAGACGAGCTGAGAGATCAGCTCCTTTTCGCTGTCGTCCGAATGTGTCAGATTAGGGGTGGAGCTGGAGGCGACCTTTGCCAGAGGGCCCGCAAGGACGCTTTTCGCAGCTTCTGCCTTGTCCCTCAAAGCCTGCTTGGAGAACATTGCTCTGTTGACCAGACTCGTCACCCAGCGACTTGTAGATCCAGCCACAGACCGCACGCTGCCAGTGGTCGAGAATCTCCGCGTAATCGCAGGATTGGTTGGCTGAAAGGGATAGACAGGGGCACTTTCCAATCTGAGCTGCGCACTACTCGGCCTGACCGTTTCTATCGACCTGACGCTTGGTGTTCTGTCAAGGTCGTACGGAGCAGCAGGCCGGCGACTCTGGTGAATATCGTCTCCTCCCTTAGGGATGCTTATCTCATCGCCTATGCAGTAATGGTACTGGCTGCCGTGGTCAATGCACGTCGCGGCGCTGGTTGTCGCGTCTGATACGTCGGATGAGCGTGGTCCAGTAATTGTCTGGGCTACGGTATCGGAGAGAGCGAGCTCGGATATGTTATCTTCTGGCAGGATGGAGGGATCAGACGAGGCTTCTGTGTAAAGTGTGGAGCCAGCTGCGACAGATGCGATATGTAGATCTGTTGATGGATCGCTGGATGGTGACAAGTTTGGCAAGTCGTTGTCTTCGGGAAGATCTGCGCTGCTCGAGCTCGATTTGGAAAGTGTCGGAGTCGAATCTTGAATTCCTGCGGTACGGGGACAGGCTGCTGGGCCGCTGTGAAAATCCAGCTGAGCTGCAAGTGTATCAGCATCAGACTGCTCCAGCTCCAGCTCCAGCACCGTCAACGGCACGTCCCCTTCTCCACTCGAGCCGCCTTGGCCACTCTCAGCAGAAGCCTCCTTGTCGGATTGGGCGCTAGCGAAGGCGTTGACTTCGGAAGACGCGTCTGGCGCGTCTTCCAACACTGGCAGGCTGACTGCCGTGGTGTTGTTCTCTCTGTTTGCAATGAACGAATGCGCGTCTTGCAGATCATCCTGCATGTCTCCGGCAACATCTACCAACATGGGTGCCTTCGGCAGAGGGCGCTTTGCTGTGATGCCGTGCATCTCTGATGAGACGCTTTGTTGCTCTGTACCATCCTCTTGCGCCATCGGTCGCGCGCATGTGGGTTCCGTAGGCAAGGCTTCAGCTGGCGCGCCACTTTGAAAGGTCGGCTCGTCCACTTTGACCAACGGAGCGACATTATCGTCAGCAAGTGACTCCTCCTTCTCTGCGCTAGTGGAAGTGCGTCGTGGCGAAATGGGTGGCGGCTTCGGATGGGGCTTTTGGCGAGCATCCGCGTCCTCTGTTTCGAAAGTTGAGTCCATCGTTACTTCAAAGGCTTGCGACCCCTCTCAATCACGCTGGGAAGTTCAAGGAGAGGGTCCAGGGGTGTTATTTCGACTGTTGATGGAAACAATATGTGCCTCGAAAGAGAAGGAGAGAGCGCAGGTAGGCTTTTTAAGAATGCGCTACAGGAGATGACTCCGCGTGGCTCAGAGAGGTTGCAGACGTATGAGGCGGAGGGCTGACCCTAGTAGATCTTCATGGGGCATACAGATGCGTGCGTAGACGAAGCAACAGTCATCACGAGCCGTGGGTCAGCACAAGTCACGATGAAGGCGGTTAGGTGTGTGCGCATGCCAGCTATAGACGCCTCTTCGCGCCCGCAATGGGCTGCGCAACCAGCAGCACTTTGGGTGTCAGCTAGCAGTCACCGCGGTCACCAGTCGTGAGTGCAAGCTGCGATGAGTCATGTTCAGTCGTGAGTGCGAGTGCTGCTGGATGCTCTGCTGCGTCGCCAACGTACGGTCAGGCTCCGTGTTTTGGGTCTCGCCGCGGCGGTGTACGCGTCTCTTCTCGCGACGCGCCCTATCCTCCAATCGCGTGTGCAGTGTGAGTGCCGCCACGCGACATTTCGCCAGCTGAGCGCGTGCCCTATAGATCAGTCAAGGGTCGTACGCCTCAATCGCAAGCAGGAGTTCACAGATCGATTAATGAGATCAAAGTCAACCGCCAGCATCATAGAAGCGATTGAAGGAATGTTCAGTCACGAGTGATCCTCACGTCGAGCGGTGCTGAAAGTCGATGCCTTCCGGAGTGTCCTGACTGTGAACACAGACCTCCGAGATTCCGATTGGCAGAAGACGCAGCTCTCAACCGCATGCGATAGGTACTGCATGGTCCGAGTTGAGCACCTTGACATTTGCTAGTCCTCACAGCCCTAAGGAAAGTAGCCGCCGTTGTTGACGTGCACGACCTGTCCGGACGTCAAGCAGGAGAGTAGTCAGCACCGTTGATCAGAGGCGTCGAGGGATGACATGTCAGTATGTAGCACACCCACCTGTCCAGTCATGCAGTTGGTGTAAACAGGATCGGCCAAGAAGACAAAGGCGCCTGCAAGTTCAGCAGGCTGTGCGGGTCGACCTGTGATCAAGTCAAAGACGTCCAAAGACTTAGGAATGAGCTAAGGTCCGGCCCTCCGGACCGCTTCCCCGACTTTCAGAGGCCAGTCACTCACCGTGCAGAGGAATCGCACCAACGCCCCAACCTTCCATGCTTTCTGCTGTTCGGGACGCCGCTGCATGGGCGTGTAAACGGGCCCGGGTGCGACTGCGTTCACGCGGATGCCCTTGGGAGCAAGCTGGCCCGCAAGTGCTTTAGTGAAAGTGACGATTGCGCTGAAGCAGTCACAGAACACGAGAGATGAATTAGCGCTTTAGCGGTGACCTGGATCTGAGCGCCAGTCTTACCCTTTGGTGGCGGCGTAGTCGGCAAACCCAATGCTGCCTTTGTAAGCGGTCACGCTCGCATCGTTGATGATTGTTCCCGCACCTCGTTTCAAGTGTGGCAATGCGAACTTGGCAAGAGCAATCATGGCCACGATGTTCGTTTGGAAGGTACTTTCGACGTTTTTCAAATCGATTTCTGCAAGGTCCTTGCACTCGATCTGCTGGCTTGCATTGTTCACCAGGATCTCCAGTCCTCCCCATTGTTTGATGTGAGTGTCAATCAGGCTCTTGCAATAAGCGTGATCCTTGACGTCTCCTGGCACAATGATGATGGACTTGCTGCCAGGTCCTTCCTTGACCAGCTGCTCGACCGACCTTGCATCCTCGGCTTCTTCGGGCAAACACGCCAGAGTAATCTTTGCACCCTCGCGAGCGTAAAACAGCGCAATGGCACGGCCGATGCCACTATCGCCACCGGTGATGATCGCGCGTCGACCTTCAAGCTTGCCCGTACCTTTGTACTCCGTCAAGTATGGCTTCCCGTCATTGTCCCAAGTTTCGACTTGGTAGTGCGCCGCTCCTGGCTTCATGTCCTTGTCCAGTCCAGGGCCTGATTGTGACTGCTTACTTGGTATGGCATTCGGGTACGCAGTAACAATGCCACGTTGCTCCTCCAAGTGCGACTGTTTGCCGTGGATCTTGTCTGAGTTGCTTGACATTTTGGGCTGTCTACGGGAGGGTAGCAAGTACGGGTGATGTGGATGTGTCTTCGAAGGCGCTGGCTACTCTGACTTACGTGAGTGGTGGCAGTCGTAATAGTCAGAACTTCATCTAATTTTGGTTGTATTTGAGAATGAGATCCTTCACCACCCGCCAGGTCGAACCTGCGGATCGAGCTCGCAGTTTTTGCACGCCTGTGCCAACACGTCATCACCACTGTCTCGGCACTGCGCCCCGTTGCGAGAGCTCTTCAATCATAAGATCAAGTGTGCGCTCGCTATGATTGCCGTGGCTGCTGACCAAACGATTGGCCAGGGCGCGCATGTTGGGATTCCTGCCCGACTTCAGAGTGGTCTCGCTGTGGGCCCTACCAGTCGTTGAAGATGCAGATGCAGGTCATGAGACCATCCCATCACGATCGAGGCTATGCCATCGGCGTGTCCCATCTCCATCATGCTGACCTCTGGTGACGCAAGTAGCTTCAAAATTCACGACTCGGCTCACAGACTACACCTACATACTGTACAGTACATGGCTGGCGGGTTTTCTTTTGTGTTGGGCAACAGGTGATGGATGAGGCTTGGACCCTGCCGAAGCCAACGCCACAGGGACGGGCCAGTGAGTCGCGCGCGACTGCGTCACCATTCACGACTGCGTTCCCACGGCTCGCGGCTCCCTCCGATCGCGGAGTGCAGCCAAACAGGGCTAAGCTTGCATGCATGGTGACTTGTGACTGCTGCACGTGTCAGAAACAGAAGACTGATCAGACGCAAGACTTCAAGACTCTAGCCGATGTAGGTAGGGGCCAAGAGAGCCTGTCGCCTTGAATCGCATGAAGCACCTCGAGTCTTCATCAACGAGCCCCTCATCCTCCTCGCCTCCTGCCTGTTCATCCACGTAGCTGACTACCTCTCAAATCGGAATAATCCTTGCCTACATCTCCAAGCCGAGCTCTGGGATGCGCTTCCGCCGGAGCCATGGGCATTCATTTGGATTGGCTGCTTAGAGGTTTAGGAACGAACGTGTCACCCTGGGCAAGAGAGGACCCAGGCAGCGGTCAGGAATGCGGATGGAAGCTTTCGCGACCTGTGTTTGGCCTGCACAACGGGGCTGCCAGCACCCTGGTCTGACTGCAAGAGCTAGTGCAAGGGATTGCGCGCCACCTCGGGTTCGCTTGTGGCTCATCCGTCTTCGATGCGCACCGAAAGGAAGCCTCTTCATACAAGATCCAGCGCTCGCAACAGCATCTTAAATCAAAAGACCGCGTGTAATAAGTGTTCTTGAAGGAAAGCCCTCCAAGCCGTAGTACGTGCAAGACTCATCAGTCTGTGGCGACTCGCAGAGGTGGAAATCAAAGTCTTGGAGCCAGCCGAGCAATCGTGCGATGTGCGTGGAATCATACCGGCACCTAGCAGCGCTGCACCCTGAATGGCGATACTGATGAGCATCGCTCTGGCCTCGCAATATGCCTGCCTCTGCGCAGCTGATGAGGCTGCGCGCGGGAAGGCGTCGAGGACCAGTCGTGAGTGGTCCTCTGCGCAAAGCGTTATGGCACCGATACGAAGAGCGACCGGCAGGGCGCGGGCGCAGGCGCAGGCGCAGAGAATGTCTTTGTGGGGCGATTTTCTTTGTGCACTGTGCAGAGCAGCCCCCTCACCGGCCTTCTCAGGCGTGAGGATCAACATCTACAGACAGAGGCAACCCAGTCTTGCTCAGACCGCCATCGAAAGCTCTGGAATTGGCTCACCAACCACATCTTGAGCGATGGGAGTCGGGTCATTTCTCGAGCTCTTCGCACACAACTCTTCCGGTTGTGGAGAGAGCAAAATGGTATCGACATGCACAGCTGACTGCTGGCGGAAGGGAGTCTGGATACACGAGCAGAGTGGTGAGGCATCGCTCGATCAATCATGGTCATGAGCGGCAGAAAAGCATGCGTCGATCGATCACAATGACTCAGCTCTTCGAGACGAGTCTGTCGCAGCTGGCGGCATCGGATGTTGCTATGTGTTTTGACAAGCGCAGCAGCAGCTGTTGCATGGCTCTGAGACATGCTGCCAACAGCAGAGCCATCAAGATCAAAGGATTGTGCGTGGGCACCATACAGTGCGGTGGATCAGTTGCCACATAGCAAGCTGCGCGGCTGTCCGGCGCGGCGCAGTCAGCTTTCAATCAGAATCCGACATCAACCAAATAAGTGCGCCATGACGGCCCGCCCGACAACATATGCGCATACCAATTAAGGTACAATCAACCATATATGAGTGTGAATTAGTTGCTGGATTCTAATTTGGGTTCGCACTAATTGATCGCTGCTCATCATCAGCAGCATTGCTGATCGTGCTTGGTCTCACCACGGTCTCGGTGGATTTCCGCCAGAAGAACGCCTGATGGCATCATGATACTCACAACCGACTCGCGAATCGCCCACCCGCGCGCCATTCACAGCAATCACAATACGAATACGTGGATGCGCTCGTTTAATTCCGATCACAATCCGAATCCCTCTCGACGAGTCCGCACGTCGGTCTGCTTAGTTCGCTGCTTTAACACGTCGTCGCAGTACAAAACACAAGCACGAGTATATTTAACGCCATCGCGGACGCCTCGACCTCGCGCGCGCGCCCTTTGCTCTCTGGATTTCGACTTTCCTTGATCTGTTGACAAGGCTCTGTTTGGATGCGTCTCACAAGCCTCGGCGCTCCTATCATTACAGCCAGCTCTGCGAGCTGCTCTCACGACTTGCATCGCCTGACTCTGTGGGTCGAGGATCTGCTCGACCTGGCTCCTTTCGCACGCCCAAACACGTCGTCGCAAAGCGCTCACAACCTTCTCACGGTCACCGCAGCCGCGGTGGGCCCTTCAACTCGAAGGAGTACTCAACCAATCGCGAACCCCGAACAGGCCATCACTCCATCGGGTACCATGCCGAATGCACAGCAAGATCCTAGAGAATCAACGCCTCCTAGGTCGTCCCGAGAGTCGAGACGAGAAGCAGCCCATTCTACGCCAGATGATCCCAGCAAAGTCTTACAAGCCCGGATCAGCCCAGCGGTGGAACGTGGGCCTTTGGTTGGCAATGCGTTCAATAGACCTTCGCAGAGAAAACAAGTCCTCGATGCCTCATCTCATCGACCGCGCGACATTGGTCTTTTTTCTTCATCGCTCCTCGAATCGCGCGTCGACAGTCACGACCACGACCGACCCTGTTCGGCCCTGGCTCTGCACCCGGCGGAGTCAACGCACTCATCTCCCATTTGTCCGGCTCTGCACCCATGCCGTAGTGTCGACAAGATGCATCACAGGCAAGCTTCCCTTCAACCCATACCGGAGCGCCAACGACGAGACCTGGCGCTCGAGAGCAACATCAGCCCGACCAGACCCCTTCGTCTTGGTCAACGAGCCAGCATTGGCAAAGAGCTGCACAGCGAATCCTCTGATACAGATGACGCGGCTGAACATGATCCGCCGGGCAGTTCTGGCCGCATATCCCGGAGATCTTCTCGGGACGTACGAAGAAGCAGCTGGACGAGCGCCAAGCTGTCTTCGCCGCAAGGCTCGGTGGATGAGCGTTTGCTCCATCGCAAATCTACACTCTCTGTTCTCTCGAATACACACTCTTGCTCTCGTACCTGCGATCTGATGAAGCCCAGCGCTTCGAATGCTACCCTGCACTCGCGTATCGAATGCCCACCACTCGACGAGCACACAGAGTCAGGTTCGCGCTCACAAGCAGCACTCCTCTCGGCTTTACTGGCCGTGGGAGATGCTGAAGTGGCGTTGCGCCAGGCTCGCGAGGCTCTTGAGACCGCCTTCGCCCATGGACAAGCACAAGCCAGCTCGGAGGTGCCTCGCAGCCAAAGCAAGCCATGCTCATCCACCACAAATGGCTACTCTTCGTTGAGAGATGTGCTCTCCATGCCTGCGAGCACGTCCACCAGCAGTACAAGCCCTGACGTAATTACGCAGCAAAGCCAGCACGAAGTCGACCACAAAGATCCGGCATCTCCGCAGTCCTCCGCTGCTGGTTCGACGCCTCGAGTCGTTAAGTCTTACGAGTCTCTCAGCTCAGCAGCGGTTTGTGGTCAAAACGCTTCGTCCAGCGTAGGCATCGTCCAATCTTGTGAGCGCACACAAGCCATTGAAGGTCAGTTCGCAGCATCCGTCGCGTCGCCGACCGTCTTGGCACGTGCTGCATCGCTCCTTGAACGACGCCAAAGAGAACGGGTAAAGGCTCAAAATGCCATGCTTGAACGCTTCGGTATGGGAGCAACATCGTCTGCAATCGCAGAAGAAATGGAGAATTTGGCGCCGGCATCTGAGCAACGCAAGACTACAGCCGAACGTGAATCTGCTGCTTTTCACCCCGGCTCTGCGCAGGTGCCGTCCCTGCTTGCTATCAAACCACCCAAACGCAGACCGCCCCACACAAACGATGCACCGGCGCGCGAAGACCCTGACAGTGACTCCTCCATTTACAGTATCGGGCCCGACAGCGGTCTTGCAACTGCACGTATCACAGAAGCTCTGGCTCGCGCCGCTAGCATCACACGAAGGGGTCAAGAGCACCAGCTTGAAGCGCAAAAATTCGAGAGGCAGGGTGCCGATGGCGCAGAAATGACTGACGGTCCATCGCTCTCTGCCGCGAGCACCGAAGATGAGGGCGCAATGATCAGCGCTTCTCTGACCCCGCGAGACGCTTCCGACATCTCGCCAAGGCAAAGTCCAAGCAAGACTGAAAATCGCGAGAGCACTTGTCCGACACCATCACGAAGACACTCCATCAACGTATGGTCCCCCGCATTCAATCCGCACGAATCACCTCACCAAATCGAAGGTCATCACTCGCCAGTCTTTGGATTTGAACTGAGATCAGGTAGGAGCAGCATGTACAGCCTGAGCGCGCTTTCAGCTCATACACACGCCAATCGAGCATCGATACGCCTGTCACAGAATTTCAACGGTACGGCAGACTCCGATCTCGGCATCCAGCGAGATTCCAATCTAGTAGCTGGATCAGCCACGACGGGCTCGGATCTAGGCACCGTGCTGAGCTTGAAGGGAGAGAAGCCCCATCAAGGTCCCCTTGACACCGTGTGCGATGCCAGCCCTAGAAGCGCTCAGGCGCCTGCGAGCTCGGAAAGCTTGGTTGACGACGACTCTGGTACGTACATGGCTGGATAGCAAATCGAACAGCTTAGGGAGCAGTGGGCGTGAATGACAGCTGACGTATCAAATTGTTCCACACAGCTGAAAAGCTGCCAGCAGCCCGCGCAGATCTGCAATTTGGCCAGTCGCGCCCGTCCAAGGCGAGTCTCGAGAGTGCAGAGGATCTGGAGGGCAGCATTCCTGATGAGTCGGATCAAAGCATTCCGGATGCGGCTCTCTTCAGGCCACATGAACTCTCGCAAATCGTGGAAGTGGACGAGCCCAGCAAGACGATGTCGAGTCGTCTCTCTGTGACTACATCCGCGACAGCCGAGCTATCACGCAGTTTTTCGCGCTCGACTGCACGAAAGGAAGGAAAGCGACAATTGAGCTGGACGCCCGTGTCTCAAATTGAAGCTGCTGATTCCTCTGCGCGTTGCCCTCCGCCTCCCTTGGAGCTCGAGGAGGCGATGCTGCGGGCTAGCATTGAGCCCGCCTGGAAGACGCCTCCGGCTTGGGCTCGGCAGGATCTGCCATGGGAAGAGCTACGTGTATGCTACGACACGCACGAGGATTCAGGCACCGTTGACAGCATGCAACCAGCACCGAAAGTAGCTAGCTCCCATGCCGTTCCGTCCTCCGCTCGTGAGATTAATGCCGGAGAGCCCGGTGGCCAGGATGACGAATCTGCGGAGCACCAGGCGTCGACAACTACACCGCGAAGAGAGTCGAGGCCAGTGACTTCGCTCATCGACACGACCGGACCTACTCCCGAGTGTGCTCGAGTCCTAGCAGATATCATGGATGACTCGGAACAAGCACTAGGAGCTGGGCACTCTTCTGGAGTATATCACTCTGAGATCGTTGGCTCTACTTCAGACACTTGTCCTGAAGGCTGGTCGATATCAATGCTATCGCACTTTGCAGCGCCGACCGGGCTCAATGAATCGCACGAGCCTCCAAGCGAGCTGAGAAGGTCTGATGCATCCCCGTCCCGCCTCGGTGTCCAGCTGAAGCCTCTTCTTCAGACAAGGGGTCCGGAAATATCTGATGCGGGCGACACACGTGAGAATAGCCTCGGTCTTTCGACGTCGCAGCTGGTACAGAGCCACTGGAGTTCTGACACTTCAGCGTTCAACATCAATGACAGCTATGGCGGATTCCAGCTCCGCAGCGACCTTGCCACTCTAGCGGAGAACGGGCGGACCTCGTTGAGGCTGGAGGTGAGCGGCTCAGAAAGGGGACCCGGAAGGTCGTCGCAAGTCTCCAGTGCACACACTTCTGAAGGCCAGACACGTTGGAGTCAAGAGTCAGCTTCGGACCTAGCACCGGAACGCTCCGAGTCTCGAGTGGACGCTTTCCATCATGGTCACCAAGAACCAACCTTGCCCCGAAAGATGCGAGCGCAAAACTTTTCAGGTCAACATGGGCAGACAAAATCAAGCTTGACATCATCGATCCTTCCAAAAGGTCTGCATGCGCGTGAGCACGGTCGTTGGCAATCTTCAAGCGTGGATTCTGCACCACCAAAAGAGCCCTTGCCCAAGACACCCACACCGGTGAAAAATCACCGCTTGCGCAAATTGTCGCACAAGCTCTCTGATGTTGCTCTTGCATCATCGCGATCGTCTAGCATCGACACTGAAGGAGGTTGGCTTCGCAGTAGACCTTTGGGAGTCCTTCCCCAAGAACAAGGACAAAGCGCTCAGCCGCTCCTTGGAGCATCCATGTTCGGCGGAACGTTAATGGCCAAGAAAGCGGCTGCCGCAATGTCGGCTCAACACATGATGAAACAACATGTTGAAGGATCACGAGAGTGTCAGTCTGCCTCAGCTCCAGTCTCTGTTTCCGCGCAACGCGTTTCAACAGCCTTATCTGTTGCTATTCCCCCCAAGTCTGGCCACGCGGCTCCTGTGGTCGCCCCTTTGACTCGCAAGGAGCCTGTTTTGCGAGCACGCTCCAGCTCACTTCAACGCACAGACACGCGCCACTCGGATACCGAGCAGCTTAGAGACGACTGCTCAACCACGTCCGGCCTTTCTCTGTCGAGCAGGCCTGCGCGCGAGGTGCCTCCTGGCCGTTCGCTGTCCAACTGGTTCGCCCGACGCAGGCCAAGGACATCGTCAGCTGACTTGCGGGGCAGCATCACCAGACTTTCACCCACCTTCCGCACACGCCGCGAAGATGTGAGCAGCACCGTTGGCGGCGCAATGGCGGAAAGTCGTATGGGTACATTGCTATTCTTCCCTGAGCCACCTGGTCGCATGACGCCAGATGGGTACCGTCAGGACGGCAAGGAACTGATATCGCCATGCTCGCGAACCTCCACTGACTGCCAGCCGTCTCGGCTTGCGACAGCGTGGTCCACCGTGTCGGGCAAAGTACGCATTGATCTCAGCAAGTCGGACCTGGCTTTAGGACATCGCTCTGATCGCAAGCGTTCTCCTTCGTCTGAATCCATCGCAGCAGCTAGCATGAATAGCTTTCGAGGCGTCGGTAATCTGATACGCTCCGCATCCGTTCAGAGCGCTACTGCAAGCAGCGCCTCGACCAGGGGACCAGCATCCGGGAGCGGCGGCGAGACTTTAGCATCGCTATCGCCTAGATCAGCTGAATGGTCAAACATGTTCCATCCCGATAAGGGACAAAAGAATAGAGGAGATTCCACCACCGCTCTGCGAAGCAAGGTCAACACCAAGCCACGCAGTTTCTCTCTACCACTTGAGAATCCGCTGTCGATGGGGCTACAGAGTTTGCGGCCACACGCGGATGTCAGAACGATGTTGAGGGCTGACTCGACGAGCAGTCTGGGCCCTCCAAGTTCGGCGCTGAGTCCACCGAGCGGCGGCCGAATGAGCAAGGCTAAGAGGACGGCAGCCGACCGAGGCCTGACTCTGAGCTCCACTGGATCCAATGTCGCTCTCCTGCAGAGAGGGAGCGCTGCCTACGGTTGTCGTTCCACATCTAGTACACATCAAGAGCCTTTGCGACCCGTTGAGATGCCGGCCAACAAGCGAGATCGCGACGGGCTTCTCAGCCCAACTACGTGTCCTGAGCAGGTCCACTCAGCTCCTGTGTCTCGTCCAGCTCCTGTGTCTCGTCCGGATGGAGCCGAAGATGTGTCGACACCGCCAAATGGGCGCCTAGTCAATGTTGGCCTCAATGCGTTTGAATCTGCCTTCGACTCGGAGCTACCGGCTTACAGCAGACACGCACACCAGCTGCCTAGCCGCGGAGATTCGCCAGCAAGAATTTCACGAGTCTATAGCCAACCAAGTACGCCTGGAACGTTTGGAGCTCACGGGGCAGATTTCAACGCTACCTGTAGACCGCAGCAGGTAGCTCATATGATTCATCCACGACTCTGCTCCGCATCACCTCACGAAATTGTCGACAGTCCGGCGCCGCTCTCTCCCGACTCTTGCCGCGCTTGGCTTGCGAGCGCTGACGTCTAGCCGACTCGATCCGTGCCTGTTCTGCAGCTTCATCGTGACGGTATGTTCTCCACCTCATGTCCAGGGCGCCTGCATCTAAACATAGAACAAAACAACAATTAGGAAGCTCAGAAAAGACCGTGCTTCGCATCTTACGATTTAGACCTCATATATATCAAGGTTCCCATGCCCGCTCCGACGGGCTGGAGTCAATGTTCACGAGCTGCACGTTGCAATGCTCACGCCGTTTCATGTGCCTGCCCAGCAGCGTTTTACGTTTACTCGATTTGCAAAACTCATTCTGCTGATGTGTACCTTGATCTTGATGGGTGTCCTTCATCCTCTGAGTTGGTCACTGAGTATTCGAGCGTGTGCTTGCTGATCAGACCAGATGAGAGATGAACAAGATGTCCTTCGTTGTCCGATTTGCAGTACCAAGCTGCTGCATGATGGTAGTCGAGAGTCAGCGCAAGGCGAGTCGATCTTCCAATCACGTGTCCACAAATTCTTGGGCAACTCTTGAACCTTATTTCAGGCGACCCCGTGCTCCCAACTTCAATTCTCATCAAATTCACGATCAGTGCCCGGCAAATCACGGATGTTCCTCTCCACCGACTCCTCCACCGTCCAAGCGAGCAACACAATTACGATTCAGTGCTGCACGCCTCTAGAGCGCGCAGGATGCAGCGAGCAGTCACATTGTAGCATTCGATCAGCTCGACAGTCAGGCCTGCTAGAAGCACGCTCACTCGACCATGAGCCAAACGTACATTCTTGCGGCCTTGGCGCTGGATCACCTATCCCAGCGTCGGACATCCGTCAACGCTGCTTGCTCATATGTGATAGCCTCCCAGTCTTCTGACCGATCTCGCATCAAGGCAGGTAATTCGCCGCATCATGCAGCAAGCCGAGGGCCACATCAGGCGTCTAGATCGGGTCCCCATCGCGCGGTGGACGAGAGACGTCTCTTGGCACTTGTTAGCAACACTCTGAGCTTTAGAGAGTCGCTGCAAATCATCTTGAATCGCTCAGGAGTGATGCAGCGCGAGAGCAAGATGTTCGACTTGGGCGGAAAGCCTGGAGCGTTGGGTGGAGCGCAAGGGTCGGGCATGCAAGCTCCAGATGCAAAGAAGCGTAAGCGAAGCGAGCATGGTGGGGGTCCATCGGTCACAAAAGCTTGGCCAGCGGCCAGTCACAAGGGCACAGTGCCAAGCTCGAGCGCTTTGGCCCTGGTGATGCTGTACGAACTCCTGTTGTCGGGTCACAGACCATCCTGTTCGGCATCTTGGCCTCCTCGTAAAGCGATCGATGCCAACATGCTCAAGCTCAAGTCGGAGCTGGCGCGACTGAGAGCCCAACGTGGAGCTGCTTCCATCGATGATCTCAGAGATCAGCTGGAGCTGGAGCAAAAGAGGAGAGCGGGAAGATGCCCGAGATGGGTGAGGGTCAACCCGTTCTCTGCGCTCATCAAGACCCGCATGAAGAGTAAAGGGGCGGTTGCTCATTCATCGCCCATCGACGCTCTGTGTGAGCTCTTGACGGAGGAAGGCTGGCGAGAAGGTCATGGTGAGGTGCTCACAAAGGAAGATGGGTGAGTATTTGGATTGACATTGCGAGTGATGAGACGCTATCGACACTGATCACGTCTCACGTTGCTAACCGACCGTCCCGAGACGCCTGGCAGCAAATCATTCTTGCGGTCGCAGATCTTGCCAGATGTACTTGGATTTCATCCAAGCGCGACCGCTGAGCTAATCAGCACCGGCTTGTACGAACAACGAGCAGTCATACTACAGGATCTAGCGAGCTGCTTCCCCGCCAGCATTTTGCTAAGCCCGTTGAGGCTAAATGGATCAATGGGCTCCTTGGATGCCTCAGCGATCAGTCATGCACACACTGCAAAGCGCGGCCAGTCAGATGGAAGGAATGCCGCGTCGTTTTCAGTGCCACCACTGCATGTGGTTGATGCGACATCTGCGCCGGGCAACAAGACTTCACATCTTAGCAGCATTTTGTACTCCAACTTCACCTTGCAGGTACCAGCCGGGACGCAAGCACGCGTGACAGCGTTTGAAGAGGATAAAGATCGCTTCGCAACACTTGTGTCGCAGCTTGACAAGGCCGGGTGTCTGGATGACTCATATGGCTTACACGCAACGAGTGGCAAAAGACCAATGACCGACAGCAGCATGCCTCCACCAAAGAAGAAGGGCAAATTTGATGGTGCCGATTCGAAGGCGTCGCAACACACTGCAAAAGTCGGAATCTCTACGCGTGCACCTACCCCAGGACTGGTTTTGCCGAGATTGGGCGACTTCCTCAAGACTAACCCTGCTGAAGAGGAATGGAAGGACGTGCGGGGCATGCTCTTGGATCCAAGCTGCTCTGGCAGTGGCATCCTAAGCAGGTCGGAGTACTCAATGGCCGGCTCGTCGACTAGGGCACAGCAATCCAGCGAGAATGGTTTTGGCGTACAAGGGGCAGCTGACGGCACCGGACAAGTCACGAAGTCTGCAAATGGACGTTTGAGAGGCACTCAGCAGCATCTTGGACCATCTCTTGAAGAGGAAGAAGTTGTCACTGATCAAGCTGCCAATGGAACCGAGGAAGTCAGGATAGCTGCTTTGGCCAACTTTCAGCTGTCCATGATCAAGCATGCAATGAAGTTCCCGGCTCTGGAACGCTTAGTATATTCGACCTGTTCCATTCATGCTCAAGAGAATGAAGAGGTGGTCATGAAGGCTCTCGATTCTGACGAAGCTGTACAAAAGGGTTGGACTCTGGCGCCCGCAAGTCAAGTCTTGCCGAGCTGGAAGGGAAGAGGTCTTGTTGAGAGCTGCGGTGGAGACAAGGGTGAGTGGTATCGCGCAGTCTCTTTCCAAATTCTCCAACCCTCGATGCTGACCTTGCTGCCTTTCCGTCCCGATAGAGCTCGCCAAATCGATGATTCGCTGTCGGCCGGGCGGCGACGCTGCGATAGTTGACAAGCTAGGAAAGGATGAAGCACACATGGAAGCCAGTAACGGATTCTTCGTTGCCCTTTTTGTGCGCCGTAGCTCAGGATCGCCGACAGCGTCGCAACCGCCCACGGATAGCACCATTGACCAATTGACGCCAGTCGAGGGATCTTCCAGCTTGACAAAGTCGGCAAAGAAACGGGCGAAAGCCAAACTCAAAGCCAAGGAAGCCAGGCAATTGCAAGTCACGACGGATGCAAAAGCTTATTCCTTGATACCTGCTCGCAATCAATGACATGCTTGCTCTCACCCTCAGGAGCGTAGTGCGCGCCGCGCCGCCGACTGTAATAATACATATTCACGCCGACCCGAAGCGCGCAGAGATGAGATCGACACGTTGTTCGAGACGGCGGGCTCTCTATGTAGAAAGCTCGCTCGTGCGTCTCCTCCGCACACCTCGGCCGTTGTGTCCACACGATTTTTCAAGCGAGACGGCAGAGGTGGTTCGAGCTCGTCTATCGGCAAAAGTGCGGGGTGCAGCTACAGACGAAATATATGTAGTGAAAGCGTTTGTCGATCTGCTGGTCCACGCCTGAGAGTGTAGGATCAGCATTAGCGCGCTCGATGCTCAACGTGGTCCCGACCAAGGTTCATTTCTTGTTCAGATCAACGCCTTTGTTTAATCTTTGACTGCTTTCAAAGCGGAGCGATGCCAGTAGTGACGACCGAACATGCCAGCCGAAGATCATGGGCGTCAAGGGAGGTGAGACCCCGAAGCGAGTGCAGAGAACGCTGCATCAACAAGGATGACCGAGACTTCCTCATCACGACTTGTCATGAATGTTCGAGGCTGCTGATTCCTCACGAAGCTCGACGGAACACACACGCACCCGCGCTAGTGCGAGGAAGAAGAGGGACATCACAGAATCTTCTTCGCGCGGGACATTTCGCCTAGCGCAGACGACCCCACCATCAGTCAGAGGAGCGCAGTCTCCGAATTGTGCAAACCTTTCTGCTGTCGTGCCTGGCTCGCGAGTCTCTCGCCCGAACGTGCTGCATACTCAGACAGCTGCTGCGTGATGCGCGGCCTCGCATGCATCCAAGAGCGGGGCAAGCGAGCTCCGCGGAAACTTGATCTGTCTTAACACTCGACTCGCGCAGCGCCCTGTTCATTTTTGTGTGAGCGCCAAGAAAGTCACGATGGAGTGTGAGACAGGATGTCTTAGCGTGGTTGTCGTGCAGGTTGAATTGAGTCTTGAGTTCTGAATCGCAATAACTGAGTTCTGATGCATCGTGATCACTAATCGAATCCAATGTGCTTTCGCCCTTCACGCTTTGAGTTTTGAGAGAAAACACATCTTTGCCTTCAATTCATCTTCTGCGATTGAGATCTTTAGGAAATCGCTCACGTCAAATGCAGACTCTAACTTACTTGAGATTGTCATCACTCAACTTGAGATTGTCATCACTCAATTGATAGTGAAGATTTCAATCTTCAGCTCCAAGGGAAGAGAACGTCGAGTCGAATCACAATCGATAGCAGTCTGAGTGTGCAGCTTGGTTCTCTGACTGCCCCTCACACAAGAATCACTCGTCGTGAAAACTTGGAGCAGCGAGGTCTCAAACAATCAAATGAATTCAAGTCTCGATTTGGGATGCGATTTCTGACCTGATTTGATTGCCCGCCGCTCCGGAAATCTGCTGAAAGCGGAGACGCGCGGGCTGCCCAGCTGCCCATGCAGACGCGCGCAAAGCGCTACGATCGTGGATGTAGGACGTGGACTTCGGTGCCCACCAGTCAGTGTACAGTGAGTCTTGAATTTCAAGTCGCTTTTGCTTCCGGCCCCTCCAGCAGGTAGCTGGGAGCTATGCGTGCGCAGCATGGTACGGTACAGTAGTACCGGTATCGTACTCTGCGACTACGCATGGAGATAGAGATCTTACGTCTGTGTCGTTTGTTCTCAAGCGCAGCCTCAACTCGTGCTTCAATCCATCAGTCCACCACCTTGACCAACCTCCCTGACCGCTCTCCTATTTGCTCACATTTGCGCCTCTGTTCGCGTGGTCGGCCGGCGATCACCGCTCATTTCAAGGACCCCTCTCTCGCCGCGTTTCGCCCTTTCTCTACGCATCAATACTCTTTGCGGCACTCTTCTTGATTTCATTGCCTCATCTCACCACGCTCGCCGACGAATTAGGCACCGCAACAATTACGATGGCCGACCCTGGGCCCGAGGTGGAGCGCGAAGAGCGTCGCAAGAACAGATCGCGTCCTCGTGAGCATTCTGTGACCAGTCGGCATCAATCACGCAGAGGGGTCTCCGCCAGACGTAGCTCCAATGCTTCCCGGCCATCCTCTTCTGGTCGAGCTGATGGAGATGGCCCATCATCCGTGGGACATGCCTCTACGGCATACCACTCCGTCCGTCCATATCCCGCGCGCAGTATTGGCACCTCTGGCTCAGATGATCGGCCATCGACCGGAAGCTCCGCTGCAGCTAGCACACCCTCATCTTCCTCAGCTCAACCTCCTCGCGGGGCTCGCGCAGACCGTGCGACCAAATCCAGCGTGAGGCCAGACAACTCAGGCCCTCAGATCAACGCGGCCACCACCGAGGACTTGAAACGCACAGAATCGCACGAGCAAAATTTGAAACGCGTCGGAGCTCAAGCTAGCGGTACTGCGACGATGAGTGCTGCTGCGGGAATGGCGATGCTTGGAGGTGCGGGAATGATATCGCAACAGCAAGGCTCTGGAGCGATGAGAGGGGCGGCAGACTCGCAAGCTAGCGAGCATGCAGTGACTCAGGGCTTGCACCGAGCAGAACGCGCCAGGCTGACGCTCAAGTCGCCTGAAGCTCTTCGTCAGAACGAGCAAGCGGGCCTGATGCGTGGGACAAGCTACAATCAAGGAAGTGTGGCACAACAACTCTCTCCTGTCACCCCTTCTTGGCCCAACACTCCCAGCAGCCCCCTGGATGACTTTCACACGGCTGTCAACACGCCGTACTCGATCCATGGAGAGCTCGCTCAATCGCCCGTCCATGCCAAGAAGATGCTGCCAGATGACGAGAAAGCGGGGATCAATTCATATGATCAGCCATACGACTCTGCGAATCAAACACCCTCACGAGCATCGCCACCCCATCATGCCAAGCTGGAGTCTGACAACAGCGATGGTCGCAGTCAACATAGCGTCTTGTCTGGGGACCAAGATTCCACCCTCGAGACACCACCGTACAAAGCTACTACTGGCGACCTGTTTAGATTCGCCACCAAGTTTGAGCTCTTCCTCAACTTTCTCGGTCTCATTGCGGCGTGTGGAGCAGGGGTGGCACAGCCACTGATGACCGTCGGTGAGTAGGGTTGTCTTGGTCTGGTGTCCCTACCCAAAAAGCGTCCAACCCTCTTGCTTACGCTCGTCAACCCCATCTTGCGGCCGCCTTGACCGCAGTCTTTGGCAATCTCACCACCTCTTTCCTGGACTATACGAATCAGCTTGGTCGGGACCCTACCCTTCCTGGTGCAATGGAGGCCATGCAGCGCGCAAGGGACGAGCTCAGAGATGCCGTTGGGCGTGACGCGCTCTTACTGCTGTACATTGGCATTGCCATGTTCGGCGCCACGTATCTGTACATGGCCACCTGGATGTACACTGGTGAGACGATCACCGGTCGCATTCGCCAAAACTACTTGGCTGCCGTGATGCGTCAAGAGATTGCCTATTTTGACCTTGTCGGCGCCGGGGAGATCACATCGCGCATACAAAGCGATATTCAGCTCATTCAGGAAGGCATCTCGGACAAGGTACCCATGTCCTTCATGTTTCTTGCGACTTTTGTGGCAGGCTTCGCGGTCGCTTTCGCCAAGTCATGGTTGCTAGCATTGGTTATGTCTTCCATCGTGCCCTGCATCATTGCGGCAGGTGCTCTGATGAACGTGCTTGCAACGAAGCATCAACAGACGGAGCTGGACTATGTCTCCCATGCCGCAACGGTCGCAGAAGAGGCCATGAGCACTGTGCGCACAGCCAAAGCTTTTGGGATCGAGCAGCGTCTCGTAGACCTCTACGACGAGTACAATGTGCCCACCTCCCGCACTGGAAGGGCGAAAGCTGTCATCAATGGTGTCGGCATGGGTGTCTTCTTCTTCGTCATCTACTCTTCGTATGCCCTCGCCTTCTGGGAAGGATCACGGCTGATCGCCAACGGTACCATCGAGACTGGTGTCGTCATGAATGTCGTCTTCTCAATCCTGATGGGTGCTTTCAGCATGGCGATGTTGGCGCCCAACGCCCAAGCCTGGGCATATGGAATTGCCAGCGCAGGCAAGATCTTCGAGACCATCGATCGAGTTCCAGAAATTGACTCGGCCAGCGACTCCGGCGCTCGCCCTACGCGATGCGACGGTGAAATCGAAGTGTGCAACGTCGACTTCCGCTATCCTGCCCGCAGAGAGGTGCCGATCTTGGAGAACTTTAGCGTTCAGATTCCTCGAGGCAAGATCACTGCTCTGGTGGGTGCATCGGGGTCCGGAAAGAGCACAATCGTTTCCCTGGTAGAACGCTTCTACGATCCGGAATCAGGCGCTGTCTTCCTTGATGGCCGCGATCTCCGTGATTTGAACCTCAAATGGCTCCGCACGCAGATCGGCTTGGTCAGTCAGGAACCGACACTCTTCGCGACCACAATCCGACAAAACATAGGATTCGGCCTGCTCAACACGGTCTGGGAGAAGGCAGATCAAGAAAAGAAAGATGAGCTGATCATCGAGGCCGCAAAGCAGGCCAACGCGCACGCTTTCATTCAGCAACTACCAGATGGATATGAGACTATGGTCGGCGAGCGTGGTTTCCTATTGAGTGGTGGTCAGAAGCAGCGTGTCGCTATCGCGCGCGCAATAGTGAAGAACCCACGAATTCTCCTACTGGATGAGGCTACGTCAGCCCTCGACACGCAGAGCGAGGGAATCGTACAAGATGCCCTAGACAAGGCGTCACGAGGTCGAACGACCATCACTATCGCGCACAGACTGAGCACGATCAAAAACGCTGACAATATCGTCGTGATGGGCAAAGGTACAATCTTGGAGACTGGAACACACGACGAACTGCTCCGACGACCGGATGGTGCCTACTCTAGTCTTGTCAGTGCTCAAAAGATCCGTGCCAACACGTCATCGGCGCACGTGTACGAGGACGAAGAGGAAGAGCTTGAGGAGCTGCGCCGTCGAGCGTTGGCCGCCCAGGTCGAAGGTTTGGGTCGCTCCAAGTCGAGGCAGAGCATCCACAGTATTACAAGTGCTATCCTGCGGCGCCGGAAGGAGGAGCACGAGGGCGAGAAGCCTCGTCAGTACAGCCTCTTCTATTTGCTCTACCGCCTCGCTGTCATCAACAAGGGCCACATTCTCAGTCTCTACGTCCCCGGCTTCATCGGATCTTTCTTGAGCGGCGCAGTATACCCCGCATTCTCGATTCTCTTCGGCATTGCGCTGCAGAACTTTAGCAAGTGCAGCAACTTGGGTGGAGAAGCTTGCCCTGAGCCAGCGCGCTCCGACATGAGACACCAGGCCAACTTGAACGCCTTGTACTTCTTCATCATCAGCATTCTGTCAACGTTTGCCATCGCGATCCAGAACCACCACCTGATGATGGCTTCCAGCTATCTCATGGAGCGGGTCCGACGACTTTCCCTGCTTGCTTACCTGCGCGCAGATGTCTCCTACTTTGACGAAGATGGTCATGCGAGCGGTGTGCTGACGGCATCTCTGTCTGACAACGCTCAAAAGATTAACGGATTGGTCGGTGTGACGATGGGCACCATCTTCCAGAGCGTTGCTACGCTCATCGTGGGCTACATCATTGGGCTGATCTACGGCTGGAAACTTGCCCTTGTTTGCATTTCCGTCACCCCTTTGACGCTCTCTGCTGGGTTCATTCGCCTGGAATTGGTGGTTCTCAAAGATGCCAAGATCAAGAAAGCTCATGAGGGTGCAGCTCAACGAGCTTGCGAAGCCGCAGCTTCAATCAGGACCGTGGCCGCATTGACCAGCGAAGGTCACTTCCAGGCCGTCTACAAGGAGGAGCTCCGTGGACCTGCAAAGATCACGCATCGTGCAGCGCTGTACTCAACCATCTTCTACGCCATCTCGCAGGCTCTGGCATTTGGCGTCATCGCACTTGCGTTCTGGTACGGCAGTGGCCTGCTACTGGACGGCGAGATATCCTCTGGGCACTTCTTCACTGTCCTCACCTCCGTCATTTTCGGATCCATCCAAGCTGGTAATGTCTTCAACTTTGTGCCCGACATTTCCAACGCTCGATCGGCTGCCGATGACACTATTCGTCTACTCGACATGAAACCTGAAATCGACAGCGAATCGACAGAGGGCATCATCCTCGACAAGTGCGAAGGCCGTGTACAGTTCGAGAAGGTGCACTTCCGCTACCCGACCAGACCAGGTGTACGCGTCCTTGCTGGTATCGATCTCGACATCAAGCCTGGAACGTACTGTGCTCTGGTCGGAGGAAGCGGATGCGGGAAGTCGACGACGATACAGCTCATTGAACGTTTCTACGATGCAGTGTCTGGACGCGTGCTCATTGACGGTCACGACATTACTGACCTTAATCTGAAGTCACTTCGCAAGCATGTGGCGCTCGTCTCGCAAGAGCCCACTTTGTACGACGGCACCATCGCCTACAACTTGCGCCTGGGCGCCTTCGAAGATGCCGACCAGGTCACCGATCAGCAGCTGCAGCGCGCTGCTGCCCAGGCTAATATCTTGAACTTTATCGAATCCCTACCAAACGGCTTTGAAACAGAAGTTGGTGGAAAGGGCACTCAATTATCAGGAGGTCAGAAGCAGCGCATCGCCATTGCTCGTGCTCTGATCAGAGACCCCAAGATCCTTCTCCTCGACGAAGCTACTTCCGCTCTGGACAGCGAGAGCGAAAGGGTGGTGCAAGACGCTTTAGATCGTGCTGCGCGTGGAAGGACTACGATCGCGATTGCCCACCGTCTCTCGACCATCAGCAGGTCCGACCGTATCTTTGTGCTGCAGAATGGTATCGTGGCAGAGCAAGGAGAGCACTCATCGTTGATGAGGCTGGGTGGCCTATACTCCCAGCTCGTCTCTCTGCAAGAGCTACAGAGAGACGAGTAAGCTCTTCGTCGCTCAACGATTGCCACTCTCGCAGGTCCTGACCCCGATTCTGCTCACTTTCGCGTCGCATTTCGTCTTCTACATCCCCGTCCTTGTACATGCTGAGCAGCCCTTCTCGCGCGATGCACTCGCGATACACACGCTCTTTTCCTCACCACTCGCGGATTTGCGGACTTGTTACGTAATCGCTACTGTTGTGCTTCTCAATCTCATCGCATCTCTCTCATGGCCGTTTGCGTCGTGCTGCGCGTTGATTCAAAGACCACTCACTGGGTGATCGATGCGTGCCTTTGAGCAACTCGTCTTTGGTCTGGAGCGTGTCTGCTGTTCGTGCGACGACCCGCTTGAGTGTTTGGTATTCGCGAGCGCTGCTCTCAGGCGGGCAAACGAGCTGGAGCAACCTGGTACGCGACTGTGAGGTAGCATGTAGGGCGAGTGAATTGGCTCGAACCCTTGCACGAAACCCGTCGGTCAAGGGTAGGAAGGAGCTTTTGGCGCCTAGTGCCAAAGTTTGAGGGGCGCGTGCGACGCCAAGATGAGCCTCGGCTCGGCGACGTTGCGTTGTGGCGGCAGCAGCCGAGTTGCCGAGTTTAAAAGCGAACTCGCTGCTGCATGATTCAGGGTGCGTGCAGCAATCTGAATCTCCTGAATCACCAAAACAGGGCTGCGACGTGACGGCCAACTCACAAATCTCCATACACTCGCATCCCTGCGACTAGAAGAGGTCGACTGAGGGTTTTGAAGCCACAATCACTCAAGACTTGTACCTTGCTCGTACAAGTGCCACCTTCAAAGAGTCTCTCAGCCGAGCTCTTGGGCATCACTCAGCCAGCGACGGGCATCATATCACATCCCGCAATCTACCATCACCACCATGCCGAACTACACGCTCACACACAATCCGAGCATAGCTCCCGATCAAGCGCATTCGTCTGCCTCTGCGCCCACCTCATCATTGGAAGCATGCACACCAGCAGAGACTCAGCTCTCGCTGTTGTCAGTATCGCTGCAAATACTGGACCAGCCTCTGACTCTGCTGAGATCGGGACAGGTGGGAGACAAGGAGATGACTAGGCCTTCTTCTCTCATTCCCGGCAGTTCACTAGGACGCCATTTGAGACAGTAAGTAGCTGTGCCTGTGACTTTTGCAAGAGCATCATCGCACATTCCTACCTGTAGCCCCCCTGCTTTCGTGCTGACAGCCTTGCGCTCGTGTCGCGCAGCATGCACGACCACTTTCGACTACTTCTAGACGCATTGCCCTCATCGAGCACTCGATCGAGCACGCAGCCTTTGCTTTTGAATTATGACGTGCGATTGAGATCGCCGCTGGAAGAGTCCGCCTCAAAAGCCATAGCGGAGCTCGAATCAGCTCAACAGAGGCTGAGAGAGGCTTTTGCAATGGAAGAACAGCGAGGAGAGGAGAGAAGCGCAGCAGCTGCTGCTGAGCCTCTTGTGCAAAAGAAGATCATCTTGAAAGCTACTACACCCATGAGCGTCGAGTTTGAGAGCACCGTTGGGAGAGAAGTGAGTTGGTGATGGCGATCGCTGAGCTTGTATGCAGTGCATACGGCGTGGCTCGCGTCCCTCTCGTATCGATCGTCCTAAGATCACGAATTTCGTCTCTGACCCTGTCGAGCCTCCCCGTTTCAGCTGTGGTTTGTCTGTCTTCACGCGATCCACCATTTGGCTCTGATGAGGCCAATCCTGTCGCAGGAGCTTGGCTTGAAGCTAGATGCAGAATTTGGCGTAGCTCCTTCTACGCTCGTCAATAGGGCCTGGAATACGGGCAGAGCTATCGCGTCCAAACTTTGACGCGCACAAGGATTCCAGAACAGTCTTAGCTCTCGCCGCATCGCACCCTCACCTTTCGCTCAAGGAACGTTGCGTCAGTATTTACAAAAAGTCACGTCATTGCTCAACAATCCATCGCACATCTGACCCTCGATTGGCGTCTGACTGGTCACGCGTGCTCACGAGTAGCTTGCGAAGCTCTGAGTGGACGGAAAAATGGTATCGGATTATGGAGACGTCAGACCCAAGTATATAAGTACGAGGCGGATGGGACAGGAGGCAGCGAAGCCGATCATGGCATATACGATGACCTTGGCGAGGACTGCGAGGCGGCATGAGCAAGGGGTACATCAGCGAGCCAAATCTTGTGCAGTAAGATGCGCAGCTGGTCAGACACTCACCGTCAGCGTCATAATGCCGTACTTTGTCAGCATGTGTTCTATTCTCGGGTCGTTCGAACGACAACCCGCGGTTCTGCTCATCCTGTTGCCTTTGCTTCTCTTCCGCTGAAAGCGCGCCAGCCATACGATTGGCCAGACTATCGCCCGGCAACTCTGCCAAATGACTCGTGATAGGAACCGGCAGAGTGGAGCCATCACCGAGCGTGAAGCGAATCTTGTTGCGCTCGAGCGAGCCGGACCGTCTCCTAGAAGATGCTTGCGCAGGAGTGGGCGACGGATACCGCAAGGGTGCAGGATATTCTCCTCCTTCACTCGACATCTGCTTCTTGCTGTTGGATTCGTCCTTGCTGCTTCTCCTCAGATACGTCGCGGCGGAAAAGTAATGCCTTCGTGGGATGATCACGCCGAATGAATCCTGCACAAATCTCAGTGTCGGAGGGAGGATAACCTGGCAAATGGTCTTTGTCGCTATTCTAACCGCCATGATCAAAGCAACGCCTGTCCATTGCAAAATGAGGGACGTTTCAGTGTTGAGTCAGCACCAGACCCACGCGTGACAGTCGTTCTGAGGCGTGTCCACCCACCGAGGACCAGTGCTGTGACGGATTTGAGGCCCCAAAGCGCCCAAGTCAAGAGGCCAGAAGCATCTCCCTTCGTTTGCAACGAATCGAGCCAAGGCTGCGGCTCAGAGATACCGATAGCTCCGTACCACATCTGCTTTGCTTTCTCTGCAACACCTGGACCGTCGGGCCAATGCGAGTCAAGAGGATGATCGTTCCTATCCAAAAGGTCCCACTTGCAATTTGCCCATCTGGCCAGCACCACACCCAGGACCACGGCGATGAAAGCGATGGCGTCTTCGAAGCAGGGACAATCGTCTAGCGGTTGCGGATGAATAGAGACCATGAGGAGGGTTGCTGGGATCGACACCAGTGGGACTGTCCAGCCCTCCAGGATGTAAAACCGCTCAATCGCGTCCATAAAGTGCCACTGCACCCATGAGATTCCTGCCCCTAGCAACGAGCCTGCGACGCAATCTAGAATGAGAGTGCGGGAAATGAGAAGCGTGACATTTAGAACAGGTCGACATTCCTATCCTTCTCTGCTGACAAGACCTACTACTCACCCATTAGACTGTGCATGCCAGCATACAGCCTCCCGTAGACGACGCTGATTGCATAGTATCCCAGCAGAATCTCCCAGAACCAGCTGTCCAGGACGGGTGACTGCGCTTGCGATCTCAAGGCACCAAGCCAGAGGTAAAGATAAAATGCAACCCCCATAGCGTTGGTGCTGTGCGTGGACAAAAACCCATACTCCAGGTGAGTCGTACCGATGACCAACCTGGTGCATGGCGGACTAAAAGGTCGAGGAATGCAAAAGAGATCCTTGATGGCAGAGGAAAAGTAGACGCCGAATGCAAGGACATTGACCAGTCCGCGAGCTAGCATAGGACTGCCGAGCCAAAAGGCCATTGGCAAGAAGATCAGAAAGAAGGAGTGCGTGCCGAGGAGCGAAGTGTACACAAAGTATCTGTCCAGATTTGGCCTCCTTACAATCGTCTGCGGACAAGCGAGGCAGCGAAATGGCTAGGTCAGCCACGGAGGGCTGTTCGCAAAGCAGCACAGAGCGTGGAGAGCTCCATGAGACTGTACACGCCGCTCGCCCCTACTGCATTGCTTGGTATGATTGCACAACTCACTTGATGCCAAGCTAGCCATCTGCTCTCCCGCTTCAGGCTTCTGATCAAAATCCTTCTGATGGGCCCAATGACAGGTCCCAAGTACACATCGTACACTTCATCGGGGTAGATGCCAATGTCCACGCTCGGTCCGCCGGCCAGTCCGGGCGAAGGAGAGCTCGTGTGGCTCCTATCGATGCTGTCCAGCGATGAAGCGACTGCCACATGAGCGTCATCCGGGCTGGCTATCCTTGGAACAGGTGTATTGCTTCGAGAAGGAGTAGCGAGCACATCCACAGTGATGGGCGAGGAAGTGGGAATGGGATGAGTGCTTCGTAGACGTTGCTGCAAGGAATCGGGAGGTTGAGGTCGATGAGCTAGAGAAGTGGAGGAGGCCGAATGCACTGGCGATTTGTTCATGGAGCGTGAAGGCGGTCGAGAGATTGATGTGGGCACGCGGTCTGGAGCAGCGTGAGAAGGGGCCGACATGATGCTCCTCTCCCTTGAAGACGACAATTATGTGAGCAGGCAAGTTCTGGTGGGACAAGTCGCGGATCTTCTGAGGCTGAGGTCAGTATAGCGCTCTGAGACTGCGCTAGATGCGGTCGTTCCGCAGATGTAGTCGAGCGTAACCGACTAATGTTTGAATGAAGGGAGGCTACATTCAGGTCAAGCAAGTCAAGAGTCACGAGTGAGGTACGCGACGCAGTCAAAAGTTTGGCGCGTAATTGGCGTCATGCTCGGTCTCGAGAGAAGTTTCAAGTACCTAGCGTATATAATCACGAATGATCGAGTGCGCGCATGAGTGAATGTCACGAGACTTGTCGCTGCATGGACGTGTGCATCTGGCGCACCGATTTGTGCGAGTCGTGAGTCTGAGTGAGAGAGAGTCACAGTGTTGCACTCGTGATTTTTGACTCTAAACTCAAGCAACACTCGTACATTCACGCCTCCTGCTGCTGGAAGGTTTGCATAGGTGCGAAGATGCTCTCTTGCGCGAGATCTTCCTTCTGCACCCGTGTTCAAGCAGACAGCAGCATGCCTTCCAACGAAGCATTACAAATCACCAATGATGAATGGCTGCATGGCTCTTCTAGGACGCGCGACAATCATGCGAATTCCGAATCAAGAATGACGAGCAACACATCATCAAGGTCTCTCAACTTTGAGTTGCGACTCGTGACTGTTGCAGAATCACGCGTACTGGTGACTTTGCCGTGAGTAGCCGATCTTCAATCAAGAGATCTGGAATGCACAACATGTGCTATACGCACGCACCTTTGTATGGTCACAAATGCAAGGCATCCCGCACCAGCTGCTTGTATAGTTGCAATGTGGATCGCGCATCAATCACGAATATTCACATTCAAATCAAGGCGATCGGAATCTGCACGTCAAGAGTGTTGGGCGCAAAGTCACTTTGTCTCATGTGTCTTGAATCAACTGTTCATATTTCGAAGAGCAGTCAATGAGTCATAATTGAGTACACAGTTAAGCGCGCTCTCAGCGCCGTGATCCACAGCCAGCACAGCCTGCAGCATGGATTTGAGCAAACACGCACAGATCAGCAAAGTACATGTTCAAGCAGGACACGTATGACTTTTGCTGCTTAAGCTGAGTACGCACCCGATCGCTAATCTTGATTATAGAGCTGTGCTGCTTACGAGCACCGCTTACGAGCACCGCTTACGATTTCATTGCTCTCAACAGCAATCAAATGAAAAGCAAAGACGCAAATCTTGTGGCGCAGGCTATGGCATATATATAGTCATCATCGCAGCACACGCAACCGAGGCACTTTGGCAGAAGAGTCACTCACGGGGACGCTTGCGCGACGCTGCCGAACAGTCGACAGCAACTATACAAGTCTTGAGTGCGTTGATTCACTCAGACTGATTGGTTCTGGAACGCTATACAGCACATGATCAGACTCATCATGACTTTGCAAGACGCCGCGCGGATCTTGTCGGTACAAGCTGAATCCAGAATCGATGTTTGCAGTCAGAGGGGTGCATTGACAGCGGCAAAGATGACCAGGGGATCGATACGGCCATGTGATCTGCAGAAGATGGCGCTTTGTTTGATTGAGGGTGCCTCGTCTCCGTGCAGCTTCGTTGAAAAGGCGTCGCTGTTATAAAGTCCCAGTCGTGAGTCTTTGGTTTGCAAGCTTGCATCACTACTACACCGCTTTAAATGACGCATTTCTCGATTCGTGATGCCTCGACCGACCTCTCCGATTTGCGCTTTTTTAGCCAAGCAATGATTACTGCCAAGCATCTGGTCTGGTCATTTGCTCGCACAATCAACACTCCCAATATGAGCACCAACGACCCATCGCCAGCCAGCGTCACTCCACTTCTGAGCGATCTGCTCCGACAGTGCAACGTGACAAAAGGGTACCGAGTGGTCAACTGCAAACGAGCCCACCGACTACAAGAAAAGATCTTGCAGCTCATCCACGTCGACCGTAGCGAGAGTGGACCGAATTTCACGCACGGATCTTATCTGCGCAAATGTCAAGCTGGACAAAGTCAAGTGCCAGAGTATGTCCGGGTGGAGCGCATCAAGCGGAAAGGTGATGGGAGTATGCGCATCTATGGTCCGATCCTGATCGGGGTGGAGTCGACACCTTTGTACCCTTTGGGTCCAGCAGACGCTTTGTTCGTCACACCACGAACATTCAGTGGAAGCATGGACGACTTTGATGCCGTCGTGCAGGGTATCAGCTGCAGCCACGAGTCAGTTGAGGAATGTGACACTGGAGCACCACCACGAGGAAGCTTTCTGCTGACGTTCTGCGATGCTCTCTTTTCGCTCTCTCCCTGTCCCTTCACGCCAGATTTGACGAAACAACGACTTGCTTCATCAGACCCGAGGCAAAACCTGCATCAGTGGAACAAGCATTCCATCTCCACGACTTTGTGTACCTTCGAGCATCCGGTAGAGACTGTGACCCGAGCCGTGCAGACCTGCTGCGCGTAGCGCAGATCACCGAATTACAGGGTGCTCAGCCGTCCAAAGTCTTGTTGCTTGACCCGCACGAGGACAAAAGTCGACCGTACTTGCGTGCACAGGGCAAGTCGATGCGTATCACTTCCAACCGTATCCGAGGTCTGTTCTGCTGTAGCCTTTCGTTCGACGTAGTTAGCACTCTGACTCACCCTCTGCTATGTTGCAACACTTCACTAAGGTCGTTGCTGGGTACAGACCGTGCCTTCAGTCGCCGAAGCGGACGATAAGATGGGCCAGCATTTCGATCAAGACACCTTCTACGTCATCGGTCAGACTCTACCTGTGTGCAAAGAGTGCGCATCTTCACATGAAAGGCGGCACAACGTGAGGAGAAAGTTGGCAAAAAAGCCCCTGGCAGTGCTCGACTTGTTTTCTGGTGCAGGCGGCTTGGGCTTGGGATTTGCGCAATCCGAAATCGCCGAGTGTCGCTGGGCGATAGAGCAAGACGTTTGCGCTGCAAAGACATTCTCGGCTGCACATCCTGGGGCGCGGGTATACGCTGGCGACGCCAATGATGCGTTGATAGCCGTCATTGCCAAGCAGTTTCACGGTGTGCTTCCTCGACCTGGAGAAGTGGACGTTATTCTTACAGGCCCGCCGTGTCAGGTCAGTCATGCCACGAGAAGCACAGCCTTGCTTTCTATCGACTCATTCTTCTGCGTCTCCTCTAATACCCATTCAGGGCTTCACATTGGCAAACTGCAACCACTCAGACGAAGATCCGCGCAACTTGTTGGTCCCGGTGGCAGTGAGTCAAAACCAGCGGGAATTGTATCGATGTGTGGAAGCGTGGCTAGCGTCTCTGACAAGTTCTCTGCGAGTTTCCAAGCTATCGTATATCGATATCTACAGGTGCGCATGCGCGTCCCCTTCAGCTGGTTCTGAGAATTTGGGAGCCCTTCTCATGCTGTCCGTCCCTTGCTTGGTAGACCTAGATGGGCCATCATCGAAAATGTGACTGGACTGGTCGACAAAAACAATGGCACCGTCGGTAAGTATCAACGGTGCCAGTGTACAAGGTCTGTTTGTTCGGCTCTCTTAGCCTCCCCAATCTCTTAGGAGACGTCAAGCAAGGAATGCCACGTCTGGTCATGTCAGCACTGGTGACTTTGGGTTACAGGTGAGCAACAGCTGACCCAGCTTCTGAGCCTGGTATGAACGAGCGGCTGACTGCAAGACAAGTGCCTTGATCGTGACGGTAGCGTGCGTCTGGCGACCATTTCGGCAGCATCAATGGGTGTACCGCAGTCCAGAACGCGTGTGGTGGTCGTTGCTGCCAAGGCAGGCGAAGTGCTGCCCGATCTGCCTCTTCCCAGTCACACTGTTGCAGGAAGTCAGTCTGCGCGAGAATGGTCCATCCTATCCGGCTTGGACGACACCGTTGAATTCAAAGTAGCTTCTAGGCGCAGAGATGATGGACAAGCGCCCAGACGATGGGTGTCGGCTTGGGAAGCCGTCGGAGACCTCGAGCGTTTCGACTGGGAAAACCCACACATCGTTTACCCAGCAGATAAGGACGACCCCGAAGACTCGTACCGCCAGCGTCGCCTTTTGAAGGTGCCGTCATTTGCCTGCAACATTGTCCCAGCCTCGCGCACCTTGGGCATCGGGCCAGTCAAGTCAAAGTATCACTCGAGACCAAAGTCGGAGCATCAGTTGCTAGCAAGGTCTTGGAGGAGGAAAAAGAGCGACGCGGGCGAAGAGCAAGTCTCTCAGCATCGGACAGTAGCTCCGACGCTAGGAGATGCAGAGAGGGTGGCAAACGTGGATCTGAAACCTGGGGCCAACCACCTGAGTTGGCGTCAATTTAGACCACGGTTGACGCCGCACTACCTGCGCTTCTCATCCGAGGCTTTCGGCAACAACAATTGCTACCCTTCAGCTTACCAGCGTTGCGACCCCGAGGACATCTTCAGCACGACGCTCACCGAGATTTCACCTTCCTCTTTGCACGGCACCGTACTTCACTGGAACCAGTACAGGACGCTGAGCATTCGAGAGGCCGCCAGATCTCAAGGTTTCCCAGATTGGCTACACTTTGAGACTGGCGGCGACTTCGCCAACGCTGCGAAACAAATTGGCAATGCCGTGCCGATCCCCTTGGCTAGTGCGCTTGGCGTGGCCTTGCGAGAGGCAATAATCGATCGGACTGTGCGGCACCGTCCCACGGAGAAGAAAGCACCTGCGACAAATGCTGCCGCGTCACCCGACGCTCAACCACTAGACAACATCCACCACCAGGGAGCCGCCCCGAGTGCCGCGATGGCTGGCGGAGGAGGGAACGAGACACCCACTGCATGCTTCCAAGTCGCAGAAATTCCCCCATTCAAGCAGAAACGCACAGCACAAAGAGGGTTTTAACTTCACGATTGTGATTGGGATTGGAGAATGTTGTTCTTCTCTGCAAGTCCAGCGCTCGCAATGGCTATGAAATTTCTGCGAACGGTTTCCAAGATGCTGCGTAGATGTCGTCTAAGCGCAAAGGGCAAGGACGCGCATTGGTCACTCTCATGATCGAGCGAGACCTGACCAAGCGTGACATCAGCACGAGCTTGCATCCCGTGTACCCAGCCGTGTGATTTAGCACTGCGTGATGTAATGAAGAAGTCAGAAGATCGTTCTTGTCCCGCGAGAGAATATCAAGCCACCAGATGACTCACGGGAGGCGCGTCTTGGGTACGGGTGTTGAGAATCAGGGCAACGATGAGTCCATACAGACCCAACACTTCGGCGACTGTTTCGTCGCAAGAGGGCGCAAGAAGGCATGGAGCATCAGCTGGTGCTCTGGTAGCAGACAGAACCAATGCAGACTTACAAATGAGAATAAGAATCTTTGGCGAGAGCGGGTAAGCGCGGCGGGATGTTAGTACTTTGCTCGTCATCCATGCTGGGCCTCGCGCAACCCCTCCATACTAGCAGAGCGCTACTACTCCTTGCTGTCGAGCTCTTGACGGCCACCGAGCACGCATCTCGATCGCCCATCGCGAGCCTCTTTGCAGCATTGCAACGCTGGTAGTGCCAGCTTTTCCCCACACCTCTCCGTGCCCACTCACCATGCCAATGAACAGACGCGGCTGTTGTGCCGTACCGCGTACACCAGCATCTCCAACAATTCCGATGGCAAAGCCAGCGGCCAGACCAGCCAGACCGACACTCAGACCAGCTCCAAGTTGAATGAATCCAGCATAGAGGGACATGGGGGATTTGACTGCACGAAAAAGCCGAGGAGGGCATAGCCGAAATCGGTGTCAGCGAGCACGTCTCGTACAAGTCATCCGCAATGTGCTACTCACTGTCACCACTGATCAAGACGGAGACGACGAGACCGTAAATGGCAATGATACCAGCCATGATGACTGGAATGATACACTTGATGAGCAGGTCGGGACGCAGCACACCCATGGCGCTGATACCGACACCAGACTTGGAGGTACCGTAAGAAGCACCCAAGCCTGAAGCCAGCAGGACAACGATAAGTTGGGAGGCGTGTGAGAAGCTGTCGACCCATTGCGCAGAGTGGGCTTTGCTTACTCACAGGTGAAGACGATGGCGGCAGTGCAGCCCATCGCTACGCGCACAAGAGAGGAGCGACGTCAGCATAGACCACTTGACCTCTCTCAAGGCGTCTGATGCTATGGCTCACCTCCGAAGAAGGGTGCGTACACCGGGCAAAGCTCGGACACGGCGGACATATTGACTGTGAAAGGTGAGAGCCTCATCGATTAGCTTACGAAGTCGTCACAAGGCGGGTCAAGCACAGCGGCGCCAGTCTCTAGATCTCAAAAAAGTGCTCACCTTCTGTGAGATTGAGAGGCTGGTGTGTAGCAGCGAGTGAGACGTCGTTTCTAGTTCCCGTCGAGTATGGGTTGGCGGCAATGTGTACAGTGTCCGTAACGGTGCAGTAATAAGCGAGCGGGTCAAGTTGTGAAGCGCCCGGAATTCGAGGTGCTTTGGCGATGCGATCGATGATGCCTGTGAGCGCGCGTTGCAGAACAGGGCACGCGCCACCCGAAGCATGAGCCAGGGGCTTCCTTGGCGACACGTGGCTCTCGGCATACATAGCAACAAGTCACGTGTTCATGATATCAGTCAAAAGCTCTTGAGCTCGAGCGCTGCTGCTGCAGCTGAGCACAAAACAAGGGTCTGCATGCATGCAATGCTGCCTATATACAAGATCGGAGAGGGTGTGGAGAGGCAGCACTGCAGCAGAGCTCAGGTCAACGCCCACGCAGCAGAATGTGAATTGCGACTACTCTGCTGCGCAGACGCGAGTCTTATCGTGCATGGCTGCTCGCTGACTGACTGGGTGCCTGAGCGAAAGTGACACTTGGTGGTAGTTAGCACAGACCCATCAGACTGCATGATCGATGGCCCCGCGCTTCAATTTATCAGTCTTGAGTCCGCGGTGAGACGGAGCACAGCAAAATAAGCCCAGCATTAGATGGCCTCATCATCTCTTACGCTGCTGTGCAAGGTACTCGATCGAGAGCAACCTAGCACGATGAGCAAGAGCTCCAAGTGCGCGCAGGACGGCAGACATCGAGCTATGAAAGTGGCTGGGAGAGGTTCCAGCCACTTTGAGCGCAAGATCGAATCGCTGCCGCTGCTGTGCACACCAGAGCCGAACAAGGCACGCTCGAGCGCGAGCGTCAGCATGCGCAATCCGTTGCATCCAGCCCGCTCTGGCGTGATGAGGGCTATGTGCACATATATATAAGCACGAATCACGATCACGCATTGTGGGTTGCGAACAGGGGCATCGCTGACCGCTCGCCCGTGCGTGTGGGTACGAGTCAGGCGATTCATGATTGAGTGGATGGATGGTCGAGTATCAAAATCTTATATCATCCAAGCTGTTATCTCGTGTCCTTCATCCCAGCCACGACCCCTCGTCCGTTCTTGACTTCGCCATCCATCCTCTCAATCCCCATCTGCTGCTCAGTCAATGCAGTCAGGTGGCACGACAAGGACATCATCTGCAAATGCAGCGCCACTGACCATCCGCTCACGCTCTCACTCGCGACGCCTCCGTTGATCCATCCACCGCCTCAATTCCTTCATCAACAGAAGCGCTGCTCTCAGACTAGGCCATCCAAAATGGAACGTCTTTCCTCGCTCGGCCAGTCCACAGGCTCGTCGCAGTCGTCGCAGTCTCAGGAGGTCAAGCACATGCTCGTCCTCCACCTTCCTATGGCATACTCAAAGCTGGACTCGTACTCTTCCCGTGGGCAAATTGTAGATGCTACAAGAAGTTGGTCGCGCCAATTGTGCTTTCTAGAGGACTACGGGGAGGTCATCCTGGCTCGAGCTAGCGAGGGTACCATCATCGACCATCTTGATCGTTCCATCCAAACTGGACAAACACACTTTGCCAACAAGGTCGTCTCTCGCAAGCATGCCAAGATCTGCTGGAACAATGGGGTGCCATCCATCGTCGACCTCGGAAGCACGCATGGCACGCAGTACTCAGATATTGGGGCGTACCTCGACCCTTACTCCAACCATTGGCGAGTCTCGTCGGCGCTTGCCGCTTTTGCGCCACCTCTCGCTTTCTTGAAGCCAGGGATTCGTCAGAACTTGACCCACGGAGCTCTCATCACGCTTGGAAAGGACATGGGCTCTCAAGACCAGTGTCATCAAGCTGTTCGTGCGCTGGTGAGTGGTTCTTGTCCGGCCGCGTTGCAGAAGCGGACCGATAGCTTGTCCTCTACACTGGTGCAGATGATGTCGCATGGGAAACCTGAGCTGATGGCACGCCGATCTTTTGAACTTTACCTTCCCAGATTGAGATCAGGAAGGTCTTGAGGCCTGTCTCTCAACAGCATTATCTCCCTCCGCTCTCGAATGTGAGCGTTTCGGATTCGACGCAGGCTCTTCATCCATTGTGCTCTCTCCCCAGTAGCACCATGCAAGGGTCGCTGGATGCATGCAAGAAGCCGATCATCGTTCACCATGTGGACGATTCGGATGGAGAAGGCGATCAGAATGTACCTGAACTCACCAGCGACAGTGACGAGGTGGAGGTCGTCGAGGAGCCAGAAGTCTCTCCAGAAGTGACCCTCGTCGGCATTCGCACACCAAGTCGCCGGCATAACGAGCCGAGCGGGACTTGTAGGCTGGCATCCGGTCCCACTGCCGCACTCAAGACGGATGAAGACGTCGTGTTTAGCTTTTCGAGCTGGTCTCCAAATAGCGGAGCACGCAGCCAGCCCACAGAGCGAGTCGTCCCACGTCCGATCGCAATTGCCCCCACTCTCCATGCACGAGCGCTTATGGCTGGCTGGAGCGAGACACTGTTGCACCGTCCTTCCTTCCTTAACACCAGACCACTGGGGGCATCAACGCTCAGATCCGCGTCCTCCGCACTCACAAGCCGCTTTGCCCAGCCCGCCTCACCGTCATCGGCAGCATCAGTAGCCGGCAGCGCGGCTAGCTCCGCAAAATCTGGACAGAGCGCGAATCCCGAGGGCGTCTCAGCAGCATATGTCGCAGAACTCGTGCAGCGTCCTCGTCCACTAAGCTTTTCGCCATCTAGCAAGGCTCCCCTTGCGGCAGCCGATTCGAACGATCTTGACAGCGCCTCCGCCTCTGCTGTCCAGTCTACCAGCGCCCGTCCATCTCAAACCCACGACGCTGGCATCGCCCCAGCAAAATTGGATTTCAATGTCAGCTCTCAATCAGATCCAACTGAGGACAGAAAGAGCGCATGGCCTGGAGGAACGCGACGCATCAGTCCCACGCTTCACCCGCCTTGCTCGGATCGCTCCTCGGACGAGGTTCCTGATGCCAATCTCGCCCTGGGCTCGTTCTCTGACCCCGACCGTGAAGGTCCTCATTCTCTTCATTCTCTCTATCAACGCGAGACCATTCCCATGCGTGAGTGTGACGATGGCAATTCTAAGAGCTCCGAAGAGTCGGACGGCGATACATCGGATTCTTCTGGCTCAAAGGAACAAGACAGCGACTCTGAAACCAGTGTGCTTGACGGAGATGCTCAGCTCAGTGATGAGGAAGACATAGCTTCCGTAGCTGAAGATGCTAGCTTGTCTGATGACGTGGATGACGAGGGCTTCCCCGTCGAGGAGGACGAGCTCGATGAAGACGCCTTCTCAGAGAAGCCGGATGAGGAGGCTTTTCTTGAAGAATTAGACGAGGATGCTTTCCCTGATGATCTGGACGAAGATGACGCATCTGCGCGCGAGGGCACGTCCGCCGAATGCGAGGACCTGTCAGCGAGCGAGCAAAGCGAGGCTTCCCAAGACAATGGTCTCGAGCATGACGACCGTCCCACCGATCACACAAGCGAAGCTTCGAGCGAGGACCATGTGATGACTGACGTCAATGACAACTTACCCGTGACGAGTCCAGCTGTGGTAGAAGCTCCGCAGAGAGAGACGATCCAAGATGGCGCCCCTGAAACCACTGCAGTCTTTACTCAAGAAGCAGCTGCAACGACAGTCGATGGCTCCTCTGATTGCCACCCCACCCTTGCATTTACTCAAGCTCAGAGGTCTCCAGAGTCTAATCTTTCGCCTCTCACCAGTCAGCCACGGGACGACAACCGGCAGACGGTGCAAAGCAGGTACGAGCCCTCATTGACCACTCACATGCAAGAGGCTGCTGGGCAGCTTCGCTGCTTGACACGCTCAGAACTTATGCGGGCGGTCGTCGCAAGAAGAGAGGCTCTAGATCTCAGCCTGCAGCAAGAGAGAATTCGTTTCGCACGGGAAGAATCAGAGATGGCGCTCGCTCGCAGCATGAACGAGCAGCCTAGCTTCGAGGAGCAGCGGGTTCAGGATGCTGCGCCAACACAGGCAACCTCACCTGCAGCAGTCGAGACTCCAAGCACCCAACAGACACCTCCAGAACTGGAATCGCCACTTCGTCATCTCCGTGCGATGACAGCTCAGATGGGAAACCAAGGTCAGGTGCACGCTGCAATGCTCTTGCGACAGCTTCAAGCGCGACCCACTCCTTCCACACGTGAAGCGGCCGAAACGCGCAGGCTGTCTCTTGGTGCGCTGACGCGCAGGCTTGCCCGGATCGACTCTCCTGAAGCGCTCTTGCCGGTGGTCACGACTGTGACATCGCCGTCGAACAACTCTCAACATCCGCCGACAAAATCCTCGCCCATCGAGTGCGACGTCGAGCAGCCTCTCGCCGAGACTGCCAAGATTCAGAACAAGGGCAAACGTAAGCGCAACTCGGTGGATGCCTCCACGCAGATCAACGAGGAGCACGTCAGCGAGCGCGTGAGCTCTCCTTCGCCGGTAAATCCTCCCCCGAAGCGCGCCCGCCTCGACGTCTTCGGGGGTGTTGTTGTCGGCGCGATGATTGGTGCAGTCGGGTAAGTGCGCAATCACCATTGTGTGTATGCTGCCACAGCTGACATTTCGGTCGTGTCTTCTCTCAGCACCTTCATGGGACTCGCCTCCTTGGGCCGCTCGAGCATGTAGGCATTGAGCGCCACGTTGATTTGAAGGTCGCACACTCAAAAGTGTCAACATCCCTTTCTCAAGAAGAACAGCTTTTGCGTGACTACTGCCTTGTGGTGGCCTCGCCCAGTCTCAAGCCGAATCTCTGATCCGAAAGAGCCCAACAGCCACAAGGTCAACTTCTCTTGATCGGTCCGAGTATTCCTACATAAGATCCACAATTTCAAGCGCTACTGGCTAAGAAAATTACCATCCACCGAGCCGATCACATCCATCCATTTGTAACCCCGCATTCCTCTCACACGTCCTGTACACCCCTCATCTGTAAAGACCGCCCCCATGTTGAACTCATCGCCCACGACCTCCGCTTTGACTTTGAATTACGAATGTTTGTGTTTCCGCGTCTGTCGGTAGCGGATTCGAGCCTTGAACGTGCGCAGCACAGATCCAAGGCCTGATGTGGCTCTATAGCTGTGGCCTGCATGTGGGCACAGCAGAATTGCGCCCTCGTGCGCCTTTTGAGGCCTCTCCAAAGAACGCCCGTTGCCAGAACGCCTCATCTGCATCCTACAGCTCAGTGAGCTGCTGCTGCAGCATCATGCACGCCAGCTTATCCGTGCATGCGCACATGGCATCACCTGACGCACGTTGAGTCGAGAGCCGGCGGTGAATTGTTGCTGAATGCATCGAGACGGATGCGTGTTTCCGCCTTGCTATTTCTTCCGCTCACAACTCCACGCTGCCATCCGCAGCTTCAGAGCACGTCGGCTGGTCCGCTCTCTTTCTGCGATCGTGGATTCAAGCCATCACTTTCTCGAACTGCCAGCCACCACATTCCCCCTCTCATCTCCTTGCCAGTGTCGGAGAGCACTGCTCAGACTCTGCT